AAACCTAAGGCTTCTATGACTGGAATCTTGCTGAACTACATGTTACACAGCTTTCACACTACTCCGATGTTCGATTCAAATTTGCTCGTAGTAACTTTATAAACTAAATGAGTGTATCTAATAAAACGTGACGCTATTTGATAGTTACGTATATTAGTCTTATTGTTAGTTTTCCACTTCATATTATTGTCTCACGTTGTGAGCTATATTGTATGCGGGCTAAAGTGTGCTTTCCCAGTTCGTAGGTTGTTTTCACGAGTCCTGGCTTGATGCACAAATAGATTGTGACGAAGTGGAGTTCTGTTGGAGTACAGCCAATCGTAATGTTTAAAAAGTGTCTTTCAGGGCTCCAAAGTTTATATAACTCTTGGTTGTCACGACTTAATAGAAGCTTTTTCAACAAGGTCTTGATTCACCTATTTCACAAACTTACACATGTATTTTATCCTATATGTAAACCAGACAATAATCTTTATTATTTTTTGTAGAGTGAATATTGGGCACCAATTATGTTAAATATAATCTTATCTAAAGCGAAACGGTGAAAATTAAATAAATATGTCAACTGCAAGTTCACATGCTTATAGCAATCTCAGTCTAACATCAAATCCCCTTGCAACAATGATGAAACCCGACATCATATCAATGACATCTGGCAGTCAAGTGATAAATGTTTCTGGTGGTGGTGGTGGTGCTGGAGGCGGTGATCTGACGTCGTCATCATCTACCACATCATTAAATCGTGCAAATCCCCCATCAAATTCATTAAACGTCAGCAGTCATACATTGGATAAAGTAAAGGTTGCCAAAGTTACATTGGAATATTATTACGATAATTTAATTGTTCAATATCGAGAACGTCAAAATAGGTTAGTGCATATTTTTAATGTTTACATGCCCATCAAATTCTATCCCCTTAATTTAGAGGTCATGCAGAAATTTAATTTCTGTTTGTAAGATTATTCTTTTGTATAAGACACCGCGGGGTCTATGTTTATTTTAAAGTTCAGGGTATGAGAATACTAATATATGATAGTTCGAGTAAACCTGCCTCTCTTAAAGCTGGTATGGTCAGTTGTTATGCTTTCTGAAGTTACCAATGATTATCCCTTTTCATTCACTTTATAGTGTCATGCTTTGTTTATCTCGTTATCTGATGGGCTCAACAGGGTAGCTTTAATCGATGCGCCTCTGTTCCACTTACCTCAAACTATTTGTCCACCTAGTGAGATAATGACTTACGTTGTATTTTCATGTGGTTGAGTGAAATTTAGACAAAAATTATGCTAATGTGAACTTTCCGTAATTTTTCTACTATATGCATCAATCTCCTTGAACTGTATGCTCTCAGGTGTTGGTCAGACCTGTTAATTCAGCGTCGTTCTACTTTATGTTTCCTTGTTTTTGATCATAGGGAAACTGCTGTCATCTATGATCAAGTCCTATTTCTACAAACTAAAGGACAGTTACCGTAATTTTAGCTTCCTATCAGATGGATATACAAAGTCCATACAACTTGTAATGCATTAAAACGATGTATCTACTGTGTAAACAAATTGTCCATTTACTTATTCTGGTAATTACTTTTAACATATTTTTTCTATTTTCTCTAAGTAAATAGAAGTTTAGAAGGGTTATCCCATGGGCCAACATCTTATATGTTTTACGCTATATACTAAATAACTTTTAGCATGATACTGCGTTGAGTTCAAGTGCTTAGTTTGCCCTTATAAAGCCTTTCTTTGACAGTACAATGGTAATGTTGTCTAGGAAGAGTTTGTTACGTTATATTTTACTTAACATTTATAATGTCACATTATGATAAACCTTCCTAATGTTTATTTAAAAATGTGTCCATTATTAATATAACTGGTCAATGACATGGTTTGTCTCCACCTGTTGGTTGTGATTAACGTCATCTGCTATATATAGACTTAATTCACCTGTACTGATGGAAGTGTTCTCTTTATTTTTAATCCCTATACAGGTATAAAATTTTGGAATCAATGATGGAAAGTGAAGGCTTAAGCGAAGAACAAGTAAGTGACTGTCATATGCTGCTATAATTATAATAATTTTGACTACTTATTATTGAAAATTTGTCTTTTTGGAGAGAGATGGATAGATTTTAAAAAGTGTATTATGTCATCAGTTTGTGCCTATAATGAAATAGTTGGAACTTATTTACGCCACATAGAGTATACATCTGATAAATATAACAATGAATGTCTGTCAGTCTTCCTACTAGATTTTGAAGCACCCTACTATATGTTAACAAAATAGTAATCAGTTAGCAACATACTTCGATAATTGGAACATTATGAATGAGACGATTGCTCGTCTTCAACGATTTCGTTTTCATCCTTACTCTTCATTTGTTATTTTGCCTACGGATAGTTAAAAGAACGTGACATATCTTGTTAATAAAGATAAATCTGTCTTCTAAAGCCTATGTGTCTTGCTTTCTTGGATGAATATATCCTTAGATGTAATCAGTTTTCGTTTTAATAAATAGTGTCAAGGTTGGTAGTACTATTGCCGTTTCCGACATCCAGTAATTAGGATTAGCTGTGTAGATAGGTGCATTCACAACGGTAGTTTACGTGGTTTGATTCTACTTCTTGACTAACTGCACTACAGTAGAGTTGATAAATCTGCCGAGTCGAAAACACGTTATTCTGTTGGTAACACGCCTTCCTTTAGGTTTGGTAGCTTCCCTTGGTGAATAGCAGTGGAATCTATGGCACAGATTCCATCCTCGCTAAACTTTTAAGAGACGGAGGTGCTTGTGTTACATCCTTAATTTTTCGAAGTCTCCTCACTGACATACTTGACACAAATCTATCTGTGAATTTCTTTATCACCATATATCATTCATAACCAGCCGTTGGTTTTCTACAGCTGTTTCTTATCCATTAAACATTTGTTCGAAAAAAAATTTCAGAGATATTTTGTTAACTTAAACATTTTTGAATCCTTTTGTCAAATATTGAGGTCAGTGTAGCATAACCACTATTTTTTTTGTAACGTACAAATGAGTCATAGCCAACGAAGATGCAAACAATGTGTACACATAAACATGTTTGTTAGTATGTATATTCATAAACAAATAAAAAGCATCTATTGTTACTACCATTACACTGAGCATTTTTGTGTTTCAGTTTGAATTTTAAAAAATGAATATTTAAAAGAAAAAGAAATAGAAGTATCGATTTATAATTGCACTCAGACAATTTATTCGAAAAATGTTATCTAGGTCGTCGAAAACACTGAGTATAATAAAAATATCTTGGTTTGATAGAAAGTGCATATTAGTGACCGCCAATTTGCAAGAGATTCCGTTAAATTTTCGTATATTTTATTTGAGGAAGCCATATTTAAAGTATCTGCTAATGTATTATTTACTGATATCACACACTTCTGAACTGTGGACTAGTTTCTGCGTACAACTTTGCACTGTTTTGTAGCAGTTCGAGTCGCCACACTCCATCTATGTAGCACACAAAGCAAGAGAAGAGAGTAAAAAGAGATGATAAATAGAGATATGAGGCAAGAAGAATAGTAATATGGAAAAACAATGCAGTTTTACTGGATATTATAAGTCACAGAGTGAATGAATCTGTGCAAGCCATTGAGAACGACTTTGAGCCATATCACCAGTTGTCTCCAGACATTGGTTTGATTCTTAACACCCCGAAGAAACCGATCAGGAAGTCTGCACCTCCCCGCGTAGGTGGCTTAAATTAACTGTTGTAGATTTCATTGACGGATGAAGCCATGCTTTGGTTTGACTTCCGCTAGCTCTTTTCCAATCTGATCCATCCTATATCAGTTAACATTTTCTGTACAGGAAGGCAATGTCTGGGTGTGGATGCGTAACATGTGTCCTGACTATCTCAATCGATGTAACTTCACAACCTCGTCGATTGATTTCCCCGCCTTACTCAACAACCCGACCGAAACCTAATCTCAATAATGCTCACGTTATTATACCATCTAACACAGGAGATAGAACGCAGGCATCTATGATCAAAGACAGCTAGCCTTTTCATGTCTTCTACTGTCAATGGCCAGGTCTCACAGCCATAAAGGAGGGCGGATCGAACTTCTGAGCGGTACACATACCCTTTGGTCGACAGCCGGATATCACGTCTACTAAGCCAGAGATGGCGTAAGTCGGTATAGGCCAAACGAGTCTTCTGTATCCTTGCTGAGATTTCGTCAACGGTCAACCTGTTGGGGCTTCAGCATCTCTGGCCTTGCACATTTGGTCAATACGTGTATTTACAATTTCTGTTTGATAACCGTTTGGTTATTTAAAACACTTATCAAACTGCATTACATAACAGTGCTGTATTATATATTAGTGAAAATCTGTCTCTTTGCCTTAATAATTAGATGTTTAACCCATTCTAGGTCTTGTGATCAAGTCTACTCAACCTACTTCACTTTGGGTGACTGGGTAATGTAATCAGCCTTGACACAGCCAGTTCGGTACATCATAGAGCACCAATTAAAAAATCAGTACCGGATAACTGAGTTCCCACTGAGCAACATTTATTTACTGATGATTCTTCAAGCATAGTTTATTTCTAATTGTTATATTAAGGTGTTATACTGAATAAATTGTCTTACTGAGAAATTATATCACTAACCAAGTTAAATTGTCATATCATCTATTAAAGTCGATATGTCTAAATTTATACATGTACATATATTGTGTTGTTTAAGAAATGTGTTCAGAAGTAGATTCATGAGGGGTTTTCACTTCTTTTGTCTGGCGAATACATTCTTATACTGCAATAGATTATTCTGAGGACTCATACTGATACAGACTATGATATAGACTAGAACTTAAAATAATGACGAACAGCTTTGGAAGAAAAACTAACCGTAAATGAAAAAAATGTTAGAAAACGGTCTCTTCCCTTTCACTAGTGTAGGGACACTCCGTAGGATTCAATGAATATGAGAGAACCCAGGACCTTCCGGTTACAAGGCAAGCTCGTATACCATCCAGCGACTGGGACCCAATTCAGGTCCATCCAGTCAACTGTGAGGATGGATTTCCCATTGATGACATTAGTTGGTGGTCGCACTAAATCACGAATTGGTAGAAGTTAGAATTCATAGACTAGCGATTGAATCGGGTCCCAGTGGCTGAATGGTATACGGGCCAGCTTGCCTTGTAACCGGTAGGTCCTGGGTTCGAACCCTAGTTGGTGCACACTTCCGATGATTCCCAAGTTAGGATCAAACAGCTGTCCAGTACTCCTTCGTTTCCAATGGTTCTTTAACTGATATCAATCCGTGGTCAAACTCGAGAAAACAAATCTAATCCATACAAACCAACTCTTGACGACTAGTGGTGTCCGTCAGTGATGCCCATTATCCCCTTTTCTATTCAATTTCATCATAGATGTGTTAATGGACTTAACCCTAAGTGACTTCAGCGACTCAGGGATTGACTTGCTACCGGGGAATAATCTCGTTGACTTGGAATATGCAGACGATATAGTCCTTCTAGGCGAAGACGCTGACGAAATGCAGAGTCTTCTAAACACCTTGAGCGGCAATCTACGAATGTTTGGTATGCGATTCGCTCCCGCCAAATGCAAGATGATGTTACAGGACTGGACTGGACTACGTCGACGCCTAGTTTAAAAATAGGAAGTGAAGTGGTAGAGCACGTTGACCGTTTCACTTATTTGGGAAGTACCATCAGCCAGTGCCAACGGGTCGATCTCTGACGAAATCTCAGCACGAATACAGGGGGCTCGTTTCGCATTTGCCAGTGTACGCCGTCTCTGGCTTAGTAGACGTGATATCCGGCTATCGACGAAAGGGCGGGTATACTGCTCATCAGTCCGCTCCGTCCTCCTTTATGGTTGTGAGACTTGGCCACTGAGAGTGGAAGACATGAAAAGACTAGCTGTCTTTGATCATAGGTGCCTGCGTTCTATTTCCCGTGTAAAGTGGCATAATAAGGTGAGCAACATTGAGGTTAGGCGTCGAGTTCTAGGTAAACAGGGGAAATCAATCGACAAAGTTGTGAAGTTACAAATACTGAGATGGTTAGGACATGTGTTACATATGCCAAGCCATCGCCTCCCTCGACGAGCAATGTTAGCGGATATAGGGTCAGGCTGGAAAACAGCTAGCGGCGGTCAAACAAAAACTTGGCACCAGTCAATGAAATCCACAACAGTGTTGGTCTAAGCCACGTAGGAAGGTGTAGACTTCCTCACCGGTTGGGGTCCTCGGGACGGTAAAAATCTATGGTTGGAAACAATTGGTGACATGGCTCAAAATCGTTCTCAATGTCTGGTGCAGATGCATCCACTCCTTGTGACTTATGATCTCCACCAATCAAACTGTTTTGTTCTTCGTTATTACTCTTCCTTTGTCTCACACCTCTGCTCACTGTCTCTATTATGCTTTTCTTGTACTTTCTTCTCTTGCTTCGCGTGCTACACGGAGTGTGGCGACTTGAACTTCCGCACATTTGTGCAAAGTTCTATGTCGAAAACAGACTGACAGATTTGAGAATATGGGAGATTTCAACGAGTCGATGCATCTACGTCACTGTGGACCCATTAGTTCCTATCACCTCGATGAATTCATCTAAGCAAACTTTGTACAGGGTGCAAACCAATAGCTAAAGGCTTCATGAAGTGATGACACTTTTTGACCTGACCACCCTCAACTCTTTTGCAACTTAATCCTCTATCAGCCGTCATTACTCAACGAAGAGGGTACTGGCTCAGCATGCGTAACAATTGTCCTTGTGTGGTGGTGTGATACAGACAATGTGTGCCAATGGAATATTATTCTCACATATTTCAAGAGTTATATACTGCATTGGCAACAGAATACTATGTTTATTTAGACATGCTATTTTCATGTCGTCTAATGTAATCCGAAATCACATGCTCAGTGACTGGTTAAAGAATGTAAACTGTACATATATAAACAGCGGTTTGATCACTTGAAATTATACCTTGGGTTCCGTATCTTTCCTTCTGTTGTAACACTAGCTATCTCACTCAAAGATATGGCGTTAAAACTTCATTGAATGCCTTATACTCCTTACTTGCTACTCTATATATAACTTTAATATCACTCATTATATTATATCATTCAACACGGAAGACAGGGCACAAACATCTGTTGTCAAACACAGTAGCTAGTCTCTTCATGTCTTCCATTGGTTTTAAGGAAAACTCACTTTTGCTGAAATCCTGTTTTGAAAAAGTGGCCTACTCAAATTATTCAATAACCAAATAGTTATTCGTTCAACATGTTCAATAGTCATTCATATTCCAGTAGAATGTCTAATAATTATTGATAAGTAGTATAACATCTAGGATGATTTTCCACAACCTTTTTGTACGAAAAGATCATGTGCTTGTTCGATTTACTAAAAATACTCTACATTTTCAAAACACTCTGTAACAAGGTTTATCTTTCAAATAAACCTTGACCTGTGTATTATGGTCTAGACAATTACGCTTATAATTTAGTAAATAAAGCTTAGACATTTGTTTATTTCAAGGAATTACATTTAAGCTGATGAGTTGTAATCCAGTGATTTAGAGTTTTGTTGTTGCTGTTATTGATATTGTGGAGAGAAATGGTACATATTAATACGACTATCTTCCTATGTTAACTTTCTTAACACTGTTCATACTGTTAGCCGTGTGTGAACTTAACTGTGCTAAGCTATTCATATGAGTTATGTAGCGACAGTTTGATATGATGCTAAATATTTCGACCTAAAGTTACATATGTCGTGATATTTTTCATAATATTCTAGTGTAACTTTTGCTTAAATATCCTCTTCAAATAACTAATGATAACATTTTGAAGCAGGATCTTAATTTTTTCATGAATCATTCTTGAGTAACCATAAATACCTATTCTGTTTGGTTACTCCACCATTAGACATATTTTTAAGTTTTAGGATCTTAAATTTTATTATGATCATTATTGACTGCCGGACGTTCATTTGTCTGTCTGTATGTTTTCAACATAGAACTGTGCACCGATGTGCAGCTCCATGTAGCACACAAAGCAAGAGAAGAAAGTAGAAGAAATGCAAAATAGAGACAGTAGACAGGGATATGAGACAAAAGGAATAGTAAAAACGAAGAACAATATAGTTTCATTGGGAATTATAAGTCACTTGATCACTTGAGGACAGAGCGGAGTTCTGAGCAGTACACTCGCCCTTTGGTCCATGACCAGCCTGATATTACGTCTACACCATATACCGTTCTGAGGACCTCAACCAGGAAGTGTACATCTTCCTACATGGCTGGCTTAAACTAACTGTTGTGGATTTTATTGACTGATGAAGCCATGTTTTGGGTTGACCACCACTAGCTCTTTTCCAGCCTGACCGTATGTCAGCTAACATTGCCCGTTATCGAGGAAGACGATAGCTAGGCGTGCATGAGTAACACATGTCCTAACCATCTCAGTCGATGTAATTTCACACCCTCGTCTATTGATTTCCCCTCCTTACTTAACACTCGACGCCTAACCTCAATATTGCTCACCCTATTATATCACTTCACACGGGAGATAGAACGCAGGCGCCTATGATCAAAGACAGCTGGCCGCAACACAACATTGAGACTAGATAATACTTGTTAATGGCTACGATGGTGTCATTGCATCATAATAATAATTTGGATCAAATTGATTAATACCTGAAAACCGTCAACTTCAATAACAATCTTCAAGAAAGTATTTGTCCAGCCTAAAGAGGAAATTCGTAGCTTGTCGTCACAAAATCAGCTTCACCTCATGAGTATTATCATATCGGTTTGGGAATGAGAAGTGGGAAAAATCAAGTAATTACGGATTCCTATCTGGTTAGATATTTAAGGGCATTGGAAGTAACTCTATGGCATGTTTTTATGATTGTTAGGTTGATGTGTAGATATGGCAGCTTAAAGATTCTCTTTACCCCTTGAAAAACAAATGTACTTTGATTATACTTTGAAGAGGTATTCTTATCGATTTTCCTGGATGGAAATCAACTCAAAATTTACCAGGTTTCTATAATCTATAAGTTAGAATTCAAGGATCGGGTCCCAGTGGCTTAATGGTATACGAGCTCACCTTGTAACCGGAAGGTCCTGGGTTCGAATCCCAGTGGGTGCGTACTGCTGAAGAGTCCCAAACTAGGACGAAACAGCTGTGCAGTACTCCTTGCAGGTTTTCCGATGGTTCTCTAACTAATGTCAGCTCATGATGAAATCCTGAAAGCAATCAAATCCCTACAAACCATTACTTGAATTTCTATAATTCATCAAAAATTAGAATATTGTGTTATACAGTGGTCGCTAATACACGAATAGATGGAATTTATTCTTGACTAAGAAGCAATAGAGAGCGAAAATTAATCATAGGGTAAAGAAAAAAAGAAACACAGGAAATGGATAAAGTCAATTTCCTTTCGATATGTGTATTCACTCTGAGAATTACGTAATGAATTGTGGAAGCATTGTATTAATTTAAAGATTTACAGGGAATGAGTGAAGTAGTTGACGCATATGTATATATATATATATATATATATATACTTTTTTTAGCGCTTGTTAATATGTTTGGAAATTATTTCATCAGTGTTTTGTGTTTGTGTGTTTGTCTTTTTCTCTACTACAACACAATACAGAAACAAATCAAGCGTACACAGCATGCATTAAAAGAAAGTGAATTCCTTCGATTGAAACGGGCGCGATTAACAGTTGACGATTTTCTACCTCTAAAAATAATTGGAAAAGGTGCTTTCGGTGAAGTAAGTTTCCTGCTTAAACTTTATATGTTCTAAATCCATGTAAACATACATATATTATTTAACCTAACAAAAATTATTAAACCGAATAGTCTAACTTGTACGATATGTTGTATTTCACAGTACTGTGTCATAAGTTGATCATCAACCAGTTGTAGCTTTGGAAAATTGGAAAGGAAGATAGACACCGAGAGAGATGATCATGGCACATCGTCGCATATTCCATAATGAAATGGAAGGCTGCACATTAATCTATGTAGCCTTGGTTTTTTCACTGTGTGACATTGAATCCCATCTGTGATAGATCTTCATGCATTTATTCCCCTTGATGAATTTGAATAAAGCAAGAACAATAGTGGTTTGTGCAGAATAATATGGTAGCACCATCTATTTCGTTGGCTTCTCATCAGCTGCTTACAACCTAAACAGATTATGAGGTTTCTTTACAGAAAGGTTTTAACATACTCGCAAATTTTTTCTCATGATGTCAGTTTACAGAAAGTTCCACAATAAGTGAATAGTGCTCAGGAAATTGCGCTTATATAGTCTTTACACAGGCAATCCAAGTTTAAACAAAATAAATGTATGCATACAATGGTAAAAGAGTTACGTAATAAAAACGAAATGTGCGTTAGATGCAAAATGACTAATAAATTAGGTAACAATGTACTGAGTTCAACTCAAACCATAGAAACGAGAGACAAGCAAGATTACAGATTATAAAAGGGGGTGATGTTAAAGACAAAGATTACGTAATCAAATGAGTGAATAAAGACACATAAATCTGGTTTCAAGCGTTTGATAGAAATTGTCTCTGTCTTTAACCTCAGCTCTTTTATAATCTGTAATTTTGCTTGTCTCTTGTTTCTATGATTTGGGTTGAACTGATCACATTGTTACCTAATTTATTAGTCATTTTGTATCAAACGCATATTTCGTCTTTATTACGTAACTCCTTTACCATTGTATGCATACATTTATTTTGTTTAAACTTGGATTGCCTGTGTAAAGACTATATAAGCGCAATTTCCTGAGCACTGTTCACTTATTGTGGAATTTTCTGTCAACTGTGACAACATGTAAAATGTAAAACCTCATAATCTGTTTAGGCTGTAAGCAGCAGATGAGAAGCCAGCGAAACAAATGATGGTACCATATTATTCTGCACAAACCACTATTGTTCTTGCTTTATTCAAATGTGATAGATCTGTTTGCACGTATATAGCTAGCTACTTTTTTGATTATAGCTTGATTCTACACCGTATTTTTGGTACAATTATAGGATTTTCAGCGTGTGATACTGGTAGCCCAAATTTTACAGGTCAACCATTGATATCAGGTGTGCGTCGGCAGGGGATCGAACCCCTGAACCGTGTGCATAGTCGGTGAGTGTCCTAACGGCTGTGCCACCGACGCATTTTCTTTATTATTTGCGACAGTTCACCTTTTAGGATATTTACTGGTGTATGTCTCTGTCGTTCTCTCCATTCTTGTGTGAGCAATTCAAACTAAGCTGCTAAAAATAAAATAATTATGAAGCCTAGTCATTTAATAATAATATATGTGATGATGAATGCTGTCCAGTCAGATGATGTTCGCTGAATGCTAAAAGTAAAAACATCAGTCTTTGCATGATAGATCTACATGACCAGTACTTACTTTTCGAGTTATGGCATGCCCTCCTATTATTGTGCGTCGGTGGCACAGTGGTTAGGACTCTCGTCAACCATGTACATAGTCCGGGGTTCGATCCCCTGCCGACGCACACCTGATATCTATGGTCGGCCTGCAAAATTTGGGCTGACGTTATCACATGCTGAAAATTCCATACTTGTACGAAAAATACAATGTGGCATCAAGCTGTAATCAAAATAAAATAAAAACAAATAAATATGATTTTTAAGTATTCGTAAACAAAGATATGATTGATCTCCAGTTAGGTCACGAACTGTCCTCAGTTAGAGAACTAAAGACTACTTACTAAACAGCTGTTTCGTTCATGTTTGGAATTCTTTAGCTGCACGCACTCATTACTCCCACCTAATTCAACGAGGTCGCATTGTAACCTATAGATCCTGAGTTCGATCCCTGGCTTGTAGTGTCATGGGTGCGTACTGATGAAGAATGCCGAACAGGGACGACAACAACAACAGTTGTCCAATACACCATGCTTTCCAGTGGTTCTCTAACAGAATTCAATTTGTGATCAAAAATTAAAGTCAAAATATGATGCAAATAACAGCGTGATCATGTTGTGTGTTGTTAGTCCTAGCGGAGTGAGTTTCAGTTTCTTTTCAGGCCGCCATTAAGGTAGATAAATATATGAAAGAACACACAATAGGTTCACTCATCGTTATAGACTTTATAGTTGTTTCTTACCTAATACTACTATTATTATTTTTTGGAAAGGAATTAGATGTGAACACTAGAATTTACATTATAATTTGGTTGATATCATCTATATAATTCATTGACATTAATGTAACGATGGGGAAAAATTGCATCACTAAGGAGAATACTACTACTACTACTGCTAATACTACTAATAATAATAATACTCATCATTTTTTGTATGATATAAAACGGAGAGAAATGATATTTGCTTACTTTTGAATTATTATATTATCGTTTAATCTATCCTATTCTCTCCTCCCTCTTCATCATACTACACTACTTAATTCAATTTTCGCATTTAATTACTGCTTCTTACCTAAATTGCTTATATAATATATATCCTGATATAAATGTACCGATTAGTCGGAGGTTGGTTTATTTTTTCTCTTATTTGTGTGTATGCTCATTTTTATGGCATACTCCTTATTCGGCCTGTGGTTGCATGATTTTACTGTATATGTACTTCCCATTAAGAAATGTTGGGGTTTTCCCGACGTCAGAGCTTAGTTACTCGGAACGGATTTCTCATGCGCCCGGACACGAGCTAAAAGTTATAGTTTGAGAGCTGCTGATACTATCTAATATCCCAAACCTCAAAGTTGAGTGCTTAAGCTAAAGAGCCATATCTTCATATTTAACTGTGATGCTGTATTCAGTTTGTTATTAATGCTATTATTCCCTTGGGTTCTGAGGGGAACACATCTCTATTACTTACTTACTTTACTTCGGCTATCTCCTACGGGAGGATGAGCCGGCTTCATGAACGTCTCGAATCATCGCTGCCCAGGCGCGGCAATTTGTAAGAGAGTTCATGAAGTTTCATGGGAATTTGGTACGAGTGATGTCCCCAGCATCGCTCGGCCTTTTGTTTGAGAGTGCAGCTCTAGCCTTTACACAGCCAAGTGTGACCTACAAGGCAGTAGGAGTGGAGTAAGGAGTCCACTATCCATTGGCAACCGGTGACCGGAGTTCGGTTCATACACCTTTTTGAATGGGGCCAGACATCCAGGACATCAAACAAGCCCTTTGTCCATACGTCTGGCGGTGAGCTCCAGTGAGCTTCATACGCCAGTCGTTGGAGGTTTGGAATCAGGGTTTAGCCATCTCCCCTAGACCGTCATCCAATAGACGGTCAGCCCGGTGGAGAGCGCCGGGCATCCGCTTTCGCCCTCTCACTTTGGTGAGAAACACCTCCGCCACGTGAAGGCAGTGAGTAGGGCTTCCTCAGGAGAGGCTATGTAAGACGCCCGGTCATATGGGAGCATTTCAAGAGGTGTGCGGAGGGGTGGCCAACCCGCAGCGCAAGGCACCCACCCCCGACCACCCTGAGGCTTTGGAGGCTCTATTTCATCTTGTTCTCTGCCGTACTCTTTAGGTGGCCCCACGATTGCCTATAAGCCTTCATCTCCTCTATGTCACTCTCTAAGCCACTCGAAACTCATCGTTTCCCTTTCGGGTCCCACTCAAGGGTGTACCTAGCGTATGATGTTGTTGCTCAGTGATCGCCTCAGAGTATGTTCAATTCATCTTCACTTTCTTCGTCATATTTGTTTGGCAATAGGTTCTTGGTTAGTTCGTTCTCAGCCAGAGTTTCTTGTTGCTAATCCTTTTTGACCATCTGATCTTCATTATGGAGCTAAGACAGCTGTTGATAAAAGTCGGCAACTGCGGTTGTTGGCAATGCTTTGAGTGAGGCGCGCGTGAATTCTTTGAAGTGACTTGACGCTTTGATGTTGAAAATCCTAATCCTGTTCTATATGCTCAGTGTTGAAGATTTTCACACTGATTTCAAAGTAATGAAGGTCTGTCTTACCTATCCAACCCTGTCTTTCTTTGACATCTTCATCAGTGCTGTCGCCTAGATATAAGTGAAAGATCTGGCGCTTCCTTTAGATTTCTCCTACTATTGGCGATTGATGCTTGTTATCTTCTATGTATCTTCATCGCGTATATATCTCTACATTCACTTTAAGTCGTGTTTCTTCTGTCAACTTGATTGTTTTTGTCTGTAGCGCTTAGAGTTTGCGTGAAATTAGATACAAAATTGTCCGTGAAGTCTAGATCTTCTAGACGTACGACAAAACGCATCCAAATGCCCTAATTTTTTCTTTAAGTGTCCTGATTTTTATTATAATGGTGTCTAGCAGTAGGATCAACAGGGTGTTTGCGTTCTACACGTAGAATTCAGTATTTTTCTGTTGTCAAATGTTGGATTTCCAACTAAGATTAGGACGCATTATTAATGAGCCTTCATATAAATTACTTATATCCAGTAAGTGTAAATTATTAATGATACTTAATTCTTATGATTATTGATTTATAGAATAGGATTATGAAAGTTATGTAACTGTCAGTAATCACATTCAGTCACTCTATAATTAATCATTGTTACCGTGTCATTTAGTAGAACAATGTTAAAATGCTCAGATTCTCTGGTATTAAATTGACTGCATTGATGAAAAGTAGGGCATAGTTGTACCTGGACAGAGTGGACTAAGCTTTGTCAGTGTGTGTGTGTGAATAGAAATACACTGATGTATGCTCATTTCTTTGTCAATATTTATTTAGTATTTTTATTCAGGCGTGGTCGTGGTAGTAGTCATCATTTA